GCATTGTTTTTCACGAATCGGCCAATCACCGGAAGTCCCACAGAAAGTTTCATTTCGTAAAAGCAGGTCCTCAGACGATGAGGAACGTATTTTTTAAAAAAAAAAAAACCGCGAGCGATCCCAGCGTTCCCCAACGAGTTCCCGCCGAAGCCTCTTCTCCTCGTTTTATTTATTTATTTATTTATTTATATTTTTTTTTTTGGAGACGAGCCGGGATAGATTCCGATTTTTCCGCTACCGTTTCCCCTTCTCTTGTGAAGCCTGCTTTTAAATTCGCTGTTCGACGACATCTTCCAAGTCGACCGACGAATTTCGGGGCAAAAAGGGAGCGTTGATTTCATGCGTCGCAGTCGCATCGGTAGGCACCAAAAAAAAAACATTAAATGCATGTTCCCTGCATTTTTTGCAATGTGGAAATGGAACACGTTAAATTTGCAAGAATTTCGCAGGCATAACATCCGGTGTGAAAACGTTGAATATGAGATAGAGATTTTTACGATGTGGAACGATTGCAGCGTCATAAATGCATTAGCCTCAATTGAGTCTCTAAATGAAAGATTTTCATTCGCTCGGTTCATTGCATCGATTAGTGTCACGATCCCCGCGCACAGAGGAACGGCTGCATATTTTAAAAGGTTGTCCACCTGTCGAGGGCATTGGAAAACAAGGCCACAATACATGGGATGAATAATTAACGGAGGGCAAACGAGGAGCGATTGTTGCATCGATCCGGTGCAGCCGGATGCCTACCATCTTCGCGACGTCTTCGCCTATTGTCTTCATGTACCTCTTCACGGGGCAAGAAAGGGAGACCCGAATCCTCTCTTGCTTACTGAACCCATAGTCGCCGGGGGGAAGGGGTTCTGCCGAATCTCGTTATTCGCGGAAGTGGGCAGCGGTTCTTCGGTGAGACCCTTTTTTTCAATGTTTATTCTACTTCCAACGCGTGGTGCTCTTTCGAAACTCCTCAGTCCTCATTGTCCAATTGACAGTAGTCTCTCCGGTGCGGTGCAAAAGAAAGAAAGAAAAAAGGCTCCTAGGAGATAACGGGAAACCAAAGTCTTCAACCAACGGTGCAAATAGGTGAACACACTGGAAATTTTTTTTTTGTAGCCTTCACCAAGTGCGCGCCACTGGGGATGAAGCCTTACCCGAAATGCAATAGTTCCCAATATTGTCAATAGGGACATCACAGCAACGTAATTTGCATGAAGGTCATGTGATTTGTGCAGTGTTGGTCGCGTTTTTGTCTTCTCTGCACCAATGTCGCAGTGATGATGCATGTGCCTGCAAAGCTGTATCATCAACGTATTCAATTCTTCCAGCATTACTTCTGGGTAATATGAAACTCATTTAATGGTTGCATGATATGCCCGCATGGCAGGAATTGCTACTCGCTGGATTTGTGTCTCAATCTGGGCCTTCTCATGCCTGCTGAACTGGGCCATCGAAACAATTTTGCTTTAGCTTCATAACATTCTTGAGGGATATTTACTCTAAAATTCCCCTGTATTAGAATGAAGGGAAGACAAATGACATGAAATTTGTTCAGGCTGCATGATGTGGAATGAAAAAGGTCTCTGCGTGTTTTACGTTTCATAGGATCAAAGAATGAACCGTAGGTTCTGCGATTTTGTAAAGTGATTGACTGCCAATGTTGCTCTTTCAGTCGACTCCATTTAATGGAATGCCGCTTAATAGAATATTCCTCTCAGCATGAAATAATTAATTGAACCAATTAAATTATTATGGTGGAATAGCTTACCAGGGACGAATAAACCAGATACACAATGTCGCATTCTATTACAGTTTAAGGCGAACATTCTATTAAGTTATATTTCATTGAGTAATTTTCATCTGGAAAATACGCAATGAAGGAATGTGTTCGGCTGTAATATCCTTCACGTCTGGAGAAAGTTGTGATATGAAAGGCTGAGAATAAACTAATGACATGTTTGAAACCAACTTTTCCAATGTAGCGTTCCTTAAGCTACACACCCTCATCAAAACATCTAAACGGTAGCTATCTGCAGATTCATGAGGAAATTTACAGCTCACATTCCAAACCTAGATAGAGACGTCAAATAATTTGGAATGCATCACACATAGGCGTCGCCTAATTTCATTCCGTTTTCGACTAGAGATTGAAAGTATTTTGTTGCAAATGTTTCTGCTGGTAAAATTTTACGAAGGGGCTGGCAGTCTTGTGCAGATTTCCTGAAATCTACAAGAGATAGTGAAATTACGTGACATTGAGCTGCTGTTGGCAGTTTGAACCGAGAATCGTCGATCAATCGATTCCGCTCCCGCCTTGGAAGCAAATGGATGAAGAACTCCCCTCCCAAGAGGACAAAGGTAAGAGTGAAGGAATATTGTTATTTTTTTTACCTTGTAAAGGACGCAAATTAACTGGATTCTTCTCATGAAGGCCACCTTGGGCGGAAGAAAACAAGGCGGGCATGGAACGTAATGAAGGCGATTGTGATCCTGGGATGTACAGTGCTGGCTCTCGAGCAGGTGAGTATCGAGAATATCTGGTAACATAAACCCATTTGAAATTTCATAGTTGTGAATGGAAATCTTAGTGTATCCTTATGTGGTTCGATGGCAGGCTCCATGATTATAGCACGAAATGTCATGCAGCGGACCTCTCGAAGGAAACGGTCCCTCTGGGAGACATATTCGAAGTCCCGTTTTCAATAAATATCTGACTTGATCAATCTGATAATATCGAAAATAATGCTGACATCAGTTCCAAAGGATCTATTCTTTTTCATGCATCTATTTCGTGATGATGGATGAGAAATACTAATCGTTGCAATACAGGTGGTGCTCCTGGTAGAAGAATACCTGTCCTTCCCTACCAACACGTTGTACGTGATCGAAGATGTGGAAGAGATCCCTGCTCCGGCATTTACCTTTTGCCCGAAACCGTCTGTGACGAGCCGATTCCCACCGAGCCTGAACTCATCCTATGAAGTAGAGGCTTTCCTCGGAGGAGCGACCTTCGTAGAGAAATTCAAGAAACACGCCATCAGCTTGGAGTTTATGATCCATACATTCACAAATGACTGGATGCTTTATTTAGTGCAGTCAACCGTGAATGGGGAGACGATAAAACCTCTCTACTTAGGTAATGATCAAGAGGGAATTCCGTTTGCTATTAAAGTGAGAATGGAAGTGGGAAAAAAGGATTTACGTTGTCCATGTTTCATTGAATCGGTGTAGGATATTGGAGCGAGCGAATATTTCTTGGAGAAAATTCTACCAACGATGATTTGGGTGGATATCCTTATTTCAAGTGCTTCACATTCCATTGGAAAGGCAAATTTCCAACCGGACCAAGATCTTGCAAAGAATATCTTTTCGAGTTCAATTTCAATCTGATTACTGCCTCCGTGGGGTCGAAGGTGGGAAGATATGACTAGTTTCTGCATGATTAAGAGACTATTTTGTTAGGAAGAAATTACATATGCATTAAATCTGCCCTTCATGTATCAATGTATGCTTCCTACAGATTGAGGTTTACGTCCATGACGAGAGGGAAGCATTCACATATTTCCACTTCTTCGAGCCCGAGCAAGTGATCCTCTTCGACAATTCTCTCACCCGTCTCTTCATCCGACCTGAAGTCATTCAGAAACGCAACAAAAGGACGGATCCCTGTATAGATGATGATGACTACAGTTACACAAGGGTGAATTTAGGTTTTATTAGAAACCTAATTTTTTTCAGCAGGCTTGTGTATTTGCGTCAGGGAGTCAATTTATGTTCCAGTGCAAGGAGAACTGCATCTGGGAGAAGATGCAGGCGAGAGACAACAACTTGGCGAGACCGTCGTGTTTGATGCCATCCCTTCTGACCAAGGAAGCCAATTTGACGATTCCGGAATGCAAAAATTGGAAAGATGAAACCCACAGTTTTTCCCTGGTAAGAGATGCCATCGCACGCTCGTCCACTTTCCACGTTGACTGCAACTGTCCGAAGAGATGCAACTTGACAGACTATCACATCTCTACCGATTTACCAACTGTTTGCCAAAAGGAGTTCATATATACCTCAAGAGGGACTGCCTTTTTCAGCTTCAGTTTCCCATCAAAGCGAGTTGGTTCCCAAAAAATCTTTACTCTCCTTTTCCCTCATGAAGGAAATGCTGACTGCATCACTGAATGGCTCCACAGATTCCTCACTTCTTGGAGAAGGAGAAGGTGACTCTTCTGGATCTTCTGTCAAACATTGGAGGAATCGTCGGGATCTGCCTCGGAGCTTCCCTCATTACCCTCTTTGACATCGCCGAGATGGTTTGCTCACGCATCCGCTGCAGGTTTTTTCCAAGAAGTAATGAGATCGTTGACTCTGGAAACGAATAATCCGACCAAATATGAAATGAATCTGATGAATACCGGTATATGGAATGACGCTATTCCGTCGTCACGCATACTCAATTATTCACAAAGGTTTAACGAATGTTTCACTTGCAACGGGATGCCCTTGGCGCATAATATTTTTGGAAATGAAATCATATATGATTGAAACCCCATTGCTACCTGAACTGAAAGGCACCGAACATGGTTTTTCTGAATGCTTTCAAGACAACGAATCGTTTTACAATATTTGAAGTCGCTGTAAGGACACATGCCTTAAAAACTGCCAGAAAAGGGGGGGGGGGGGAGGAACGTTCACCTAATGTGGCACAGTAATTAATCATGTATCCTCGACACCATTAACGTTCATTCTGAATGCTTTCAAGACAACGAATCGTTTTACAATATTTGAAGTCGCTGTAAGGACACATGCCTTAAAAACTGCCAGAAAAGGGGGGGGGGGGGGAGGAACGTTCACCTAATGTGGCACAGTAATTAATCATGTATCCTCGACACCATTAACGTTCACTTCTACAGTATTTCACCTCACTCCCAGTTTCAGTTCCCTAATTTTTCATTCTCATAACGCTGACTTCAGGCATGAGATCGACAAATTAATATCATTATAATCTTTCGGAGTCGAGGAAAACACTGAAAACCTTCCGCTTTTCATGAATTCTCTCGCTCTTGAAGGGTAACATTGAAGCGACATTGTGTAAGGGCACATTGAAGGGTAATCCCACTACTCCAGGATTCTGCACTGCACACCAACTTTGATATTTAACTGCATAAAATAGATTCTTATTCGATCACATCTCTCATTGATTGAAATCAGTGATAGATGTCATAGAATATTGTGATGATTCAATTCTGTCGCGTGCGTTTTGAAACTATTGTCTCATAGTTTATAACGCCTTCCAATTAGCTTAGAAAACCTCTGAATATGAAGAATTTGCAAACGTATGTCTCCCTAGCCATTAGCCGCAAATCTGATCAGAGTATTATCAGACGCAATCGTAGACTGTCTTTTTACCAAGGTAAAATACTACCCCGGAAAGAATATCTGAGGTTGCTTCTGCTTGACTTACTGCATACGGCATTCAAACGATGTTTGAATGACCGTCTGCTATTATTAACTTCTGCCAAAATGCTGAAATTATCAGCCTCTAGAAAAGTATTCGCTGTTAGCAAGATATATTGCACATACACTGAGCAAAACTATCCTATGTGTATTTACAGATTCTTCGGTTAAAAAATGAGTGTTCGGTGGCACCCAGGAACCAAGTTATATGATAAAAATATATACCCTTGTTCTCTCTTTAATATGTATTCTATTATTATTATTATTCAAGTACGAAGTGGACTCATCTGCGTACGCCAGCCCATGCAATGGGCAAAAAACAGGATGCTTCGTATCTAAGGAATTTTTCATTGTAGTGGCATGGATTCCCCCATTGCCTAGATTGGTTCGGGTGGGACAGGCACCTTTGGTATTTCCTTTTCACTACCCTTGTATATATATGCTATTCATGAAAGACTCATTTTCAATATAACCTTTTTTTTTTAAGAAGAGCATGTACATTTCTTTCGTTCCCCGACCGTTGCATCCTAGAAGTTGCAATGATCCTATAAAATAAAGTCGTAAATGAGGGCATTTTGAAGATTATGTTGTATTGCACTCTTTCTATGTATGACATGATTTGCTCATGTTTCTAAAGAAGAATTCCTTCTTCAGTTGATATAGCTGGATTTCACATCCAATCAATTGTTATTTTCCCAGTCAGAAAATGCAACAGACAGAGATAATATTTTCTTCACTGTGTTCTTGACGCACAAAAATGTAATCAGTGATGATATCTTGGAGAAATTAATCAGGTGGCCTTGCTCTCAAGGCAATCAGCGCTATCAGTAGGAATTAAGTATACATGGAAATCTTCAAATTTCCTGATTTTCAAGAATAATCTATTTTTCTCATTCATCCGGACACTGTCCAAATTGTAGATATTCTGATGATTTTTAATTATGCAAAATATAAAGTCTGATCAAAATCTTTAGACGGAATTTTTTCAATGACGCTCTGGTGAGTTTTTTTCGGTATTTAATGCTGATATTGAAACTAGCTCCCTTCAGATATTTAAACAATTTTCTACAGTGTTTCGTCAGCCACTGCAAGCAACGTTGATACTCATAATTTTGATGACTAATGCCGTTACAAATATCATGAAATTTCCTTTATCTCAGCACACTCTTTGGCTTCGGCTTCAATAAGTCCCTATAAGAAACCGATTCTGGAGGGAAGAGTGGAAGATGAAACGCGAAGGTTTGTGGCTTAGGTCAGAAATTACTGTGAAGGGAAAACGTGCTCGGTAGGGACGATGTCATGGTGCAGAATCCACGACCACTCTCACCTTTCTCATTCTGAAAATAGAAGAAAGAGGCAGGCAAAGTTTTCTTCGCTTTTCTCTCTCTCCCTCTCTCTAACGTTGAGGTTGTAAGTCTGATTTACAATGATTAATGATTACTTTCGAATCATTCAAAAATTCAAAAATCAAAATGAATCATTTACAATGATTAATGAGGCAAGACCTTCTGGTCTTGCCTCATTGTGCTCACTCGTCTGGGCGCTGCCGTTCCCAGTAAGAGGAAAGTGGGAGGCAAGGTTCTTCAACATGACAACGCCTAGCCCCAGGATGTCTTCGCTGTGAAGCTATTTTAGACCAAACCCGTAAACCTTCCTGCATTCCAATCCACTCTTCACGCAAGACTTGGCTCCCAGTGATTACTTCTTGTCCCCTAAAGCTAAAAATTGCTCAGAAAGGAAGGAGATTTCAGGACATTCGAAACAGCATTACAAACACGATGGAAGCGCTTCCGGCTGTTCAAACATACGGATACCGGCTTGCAGTGGCTGAATCAACACCGGAAAATTGCTAATGTAATTTTCCGGTATATCCTTCGATATGTATCCTTCGATGTAGTCCTCCTCGGCTAATGCCGAAGAGGACTACATAGAAGGAAATTGGCTTCAGAAGCCGGAGTCACCACACTTTCATGAAAAGCATTCAGTCTTGGAACCATTTCATCAGACAAGGTATTGCCGTATTGCTCAGGGGTCGGAGTCACAGTAAATGTCATGCAGCTCATTAAAGCAGAAACTTATTCAGTTTATCAGTACAGTACATCCTGAAACAGTGTATAAGAGGATAAAACATCCTCAGCTTCCATTCATCCAAGTTTCTTCTGGTTTTGTAATATGGAACCGGTAATAAATCGAACTTAGTATGGAATAATCCAAGTGTAACGTCTTTTCGCTAGCTTCTTTCGCGCAAGATGCTGAGAATTCTAGAAGTAAATAAGTAATACCTGCTAAATGTGGAAGGTTGCCCATTTTTAAATGTAAACATCTCGAGGTAGCAGGATGTGTAACACAAACTCTCTACGTTAGACTCATTCGTATTTTTAAAAATGAGCTGAGACCTCAAAGGCAAATTATTTCCACTTTACGACCCCTAGTTTCTTGTCGGCAATGAACCTGGTCACCATGACGAATTTTCTTTTGCCCTATGAAGTTCTTATGCATAGGATATTACATTCGGCTACATTTTGGGCAAAAAACTTTCTCTGGAATTGAAACCAAACTTGATAAAAGAGATTCATTCGTTCCTATTTGCGTAATTCATTGCCTTGGATCCCAAGCAAGCCAATGCATATGTATCTTGGACCAATAAATGTACATGTCATTCACAAGTCGTCGATTTTTGTTATAGGACTCCAATGTCTCTGAGAACGCAGCAAGGATTTGCGTCTTTTTTAGATCACATGAATTCATTGTATGACAAGACAATCAAGTTTAGCGATACGATAAACTGAGGTAAAATGGCCAATTCAAAATGTCCCCAAACCAGCTGAAGTACTAGGGCGAATGTTGAGATTAAGACGATAGAGTTCAAATGTAGTTGCCGAAACATTATGCCAGATTCATCAAAGCAGTGCCTCCAAGAGAGTGAGATACATCAATGCTTTTGAAGTTACTCTCTAATTTCTAATATATTGATATTAGAATCGCACTAATATGAGCTCATGACTAGTACAACCCAATCATACATTTCCTCATGGCAGCATGCACACAAAAAATATTTATTCAGAGTTATTCACCGGATTCTCCTGAATGCTTCAGGAAAGTTTGCAAGCAGTTTGCATAATGTAAGTTGTCAATTCCGTAATACATGCGAACATGGAGGAATATGGCTAGGGAAGAACACGGACACATCTTGATTCTATGGGAGCACTGGCATCTGGGTCGCTTTGGGTGAAATATGATTCCTCTTTTTTTTCGGCTAACAAATGTCCGCGACACACACACACAGACTGATTGGATGCTCATACTGTAGTTTTGTATTGACATAACAACAATTCAGGTTGGATTTTTTTAACCATGCATATTTAAAAAAATGTTTGGGCTAGCCAGTGAGAATGACAATGTATCATGATTATTATGAGCGTCTAAATGGGCTTATATGGGTTATTTCCATGATCTTTGAGGTTTCTCTTTCATGACGTGCAGCGTCAGGCTGATCGCAGGCCTATTCAGGCTTTCACGAATCTTTCTAAAGAGAACGTGTAACGTTAGACCAATTAAAGGCCTGTTTAGAGTTGCATTAGCTATTTCTGTACGGACGTGGAACCTTAGTACTATTTGGAGATCGAACCATCTCCAATAGGTCTGAGGAGAGAATGTCTCCAGGAAGCATGAAATCCATGGTGCGGATCATCCTGTTGATTCAGAGATTCCGATTAAGGTTTTTTAATATTCCGTCACATCGATCGGCCAGTGATGAACATATTTTCATTCTCAACTCATCTCATGAACTCTGCAAAAAAATGTGCTAATCATTAAAAAAAAAAACAGATCTAAATACTGATACCAAAGCTGAAGCAGTCATGAATATGGCATAACTTCGGCACGATATCTGGTAACACTGGAGGAGCCGACACGCCCTTGGAGCCGACCTTGGAGGCGACACGCCAGGATAATATAAACGACATCTAATTTCATTTTTTGAAGCGAAATGATGCATCGCATACAACATAAACGGCATTTTTTGTCAACTAAAGCTCGTCATCGTCCGATCTCAACCAGATGGAAAATGTGTGGAAAGAGCTCCAGATGGGGCTGGAAGGGAAAAACCTCAGTAGGCCTAATTATCGGTCCCTGGGAAACTGGGAAGGTGTAACGGGACGGAACCCATGTTCCCATCAGATGTCATCGGAATGGACGGGACGGAATGAAGTTTTTCGTTCCATCCTTTGCAACAAACTTCTTCGATTTCTTTCATAATTATAGCTGACATTGGGATCCGTGTAGACTCCCTTTTTTCCACTTCAAACAGAAGGAATTTCGAAACACCAGAATGCTTTGTGAGGGAACACCACTTGAATGTAGGTGTTCAAGAATTAAGAAAAACTCCATGACTTGAGAAATCAATATCTGAAACCGCTGCAGAGTTTTCACAATAATATTGATTATTCAAGGCATTTATTCGATCAATCATACTGCCGGGATCTTGACATTATCGACAAAAGCTCGAATATGCAATAGTTTACCAAGTTGTCAGCACTCTTGTCAAACCCTGCTACGGCAGCAAGACTTTAATTAATATCAAGAGAAAACCATGTACTGAGTTAAACAGAGGAACAATAGGTGTGCAACCGGTGCAAGTCTTCCCATCATCGTGAAAAAGCCTTCGCCTATTGTTTTCATGTACCACGAGGATGACAGCCTTCTCTTTTATTTATCGAACATAAGAAGGATAGTGTTGGGCTGGGCTTTCTCCTTCCTCTAAACGCTTTTGACGAACAACGGGGGAAAGGGTCCTTCAAGATCCACAAGTCCAGTAGAAACGGCGCAAGAACCGAGAGCGTAGCATTGTCGCCCCTCTTTGGTGAGACTCTTTAAACTTTATTCTATCTTTCACTTCATTCGATCCGGTTGACATAAATTTTCTCAAAGTGATTATAATTGAGACCTCTCCTCTTTGTCATAAAGTATGTTTGAAAGTAACAGGAAGAAATGTGCTCCAAGTAAAGAGTGAAATCGGGTTTCTACCCTGCTTGGGTACGGGGGAATTGGGAGGAACGCTCAAATTCTCATTTATGAATTAACGCAATACTGCTTCAAAGCCGATGTAAATAAGTAATATTGTTTCACTAACATTTGATTGCTAACTTAAAAGCACGATATATTTATCTATTCACTTTAAAAGCTACTTTTATGAACAACATTAACAATCGAAACGTCATTCAGATCAATTCATATCGAGGGGATAACGTGGTCATTCCTACGAAAAAGTCTAAAGGAATCCTAGAATATTTATATGCTTAAAACAGTATCTTGAGATACTTATAGGATTGTTTCGTACGAATATGGAAGTGATCAGTTGAATAGTCTGGAGTACGCTACAGGGAGATATTACGTCAGTGATTCTTCTTGACTCACGTACAAGGCCGTTTCAGGATTACAAATGCTTTCTAGTGACATCAGAGGTCACACTACCTCAGTATATATGTTTAAGCTGATCTTAAACAAAGAATATATACATCTCAAGGAAATATTAAATTGTACTGAATACCTGCAGTATAACTGATCGGAGAAATGTCTCCTTTCATTAAAATAATTATGAATGTCTTTTTACATCAGCATTTGTTTGGCAATCACATTTTCCCATGCCTGACTGGTTAATTGATGCAAAAAGTTCATTTGATATATGCAATAAACATTGGCTACAATACTTGCTTCCATAAAAGTGAGCAACTCTATAACTTGCGCTTGTATGCACCCATTCATTTAAGATTATTAAATGCTTTTAGGCACATATTTTGTGGCATGTACAGGTGATCATGAAGTCCCAATCAATTTTATTGTTAAACTCAAAATTCTTACAAAATGCATAAAATGCACTTGACATTGTGAATAAATAACTAAGTAAATCTGGTGATAGTAAATTAAAAATCAGTTATTAATATTTTTTTTACTGAAGTTCTGCATGATCACCTTTCAAATCGATACATAACAGGAATTGATCTGTTGTTTCCCTGAACATACTGGATGTTCTCCATGTCATGGATTATGATGTTTACAGTAGCATAGATACGATCTCTTACATCTTTAACATTTAGAACCTTTGTGCTGTAAACCTTTAACCTTGCCCATGCAAAGAAAATCCAAAGGGGTTATGTCAGGTTATCCTGAAGCCAACATTCTGTTCGATCCTCAGCCAATCAAATAGTTCGGGAACTTCTCATTAGATAATGTAGCGCAATGTTCGCAAAATAAAATTCAGGGTTCAAGATGCCCTGAGCTAACCCCTCTGACATTTTTTGCATGGGGGTGAATTCCCCTGTTCTGTTTCAACGAATGTGCAGAATATTGTGACGGTCCGTGAACCTTTGCTACTGCTGCTGGACTCTTGTGAGATCGTCACGGGAATCACCAGATTCCGAGATCAGTGGCACACTATTCCGAACTTGGAGGTGGGAGAAAATGACCAAAGGCCTTCCTTCTCAGAAGCCGAAAGGTAAGGATAAAGGGTTATTAGTGCATTTCATTCCGAGAGACAAATACGGTATACAGGGTATGGCCAAAAAAATGATCTGAGGCTTTCCACCTAAATATTTTTCCCCCCAATAGATTTATTTTCGCGAAACCTTCACATTGCACGTATGAATTTGTTTCCAACTGATGCCCTAAATTTCCCCCAAATTTTTTTGTGCCGAAACAATTCTATCAGCATTTATTGCAAAGAAGAAGGACGTAATCGAGCCCTGTTCCTCGGAGGCGGCGAAGCAGGAGGGTCGGCGCTCGAATGCGTCCTCCACTCCACTACCTGTCCATTCTCAAAGTCAAAATTCTTTTCAATAAATGCTGATGGAGTTGCTTTGGTACAACACAATTGGGTGAAATTTGCGGATTCAGTTTGAAACATACCTAGTATATGCAACGTGAAAGTTTCGCGAAAATAACTATTAGTGGGAATGCTATTTAGGATGAAAGTCATCTTTTTCTTGGCCATACCCTATAGACAACTTTTTCATGAAGGATTCATACGATGGAGGAAAACGAGATCAACCCACAACATTCGAAAGTCCATTTTCATCCTGGGATGCTCAGTTCTGGCTCTAAAGCAGGTAAGTATGGAAGATTTATAAAGAAACTCCTAATATATCGCGTATGAATAAAGCAAGAGAAAGGCTGCATTTCTCAGCAATTTGGAAAATTAAAGCCGTTGTTGTAAGAGGAAATCAATCAGTAGTAGCAAGCTAAATTGCCAAGCAAGCAAATTCTCAACGCTCTCGCCATCGGCCTTCTTCAGTGAACATTAGATTCAGCCTTCATTGGTCATTGAAGCAGAATATGAAAGTTGAGCTCTGTTTTTATGCAAAAAACTATTGACACTCGACAATTGCTCTAGTCTTCCCTTTTCACTCACCTCATGATCACGAATGATTAAGCTTAGACGTTTCAATACAGGTGATGCTCCTGATCGAAGAATACCTATTGGTCCCAACCAATACGTTATACGTGATAGAGGATGCCGACAAGATTCCTGCTCCTGCATTTACCTTTTGCCCAAGGCCGTCAGTGACAAAGCAATTCCCTCCAAGGATGTTTAAATGGGAGGAAATAAGAGAGTTCTTGAACGGATCTACTTACGCAGAAGCATTCAACAAGATCTCCGTTTCCTTGCACCAGCTGATCGTTGAAGCACCCAATAACGACTGGTTAGATCTCGAGGACAAGGTAACCGTAAACGGGGAAACCATCATGAGTCTTCGATCAGGTGAGGGTCAAGAGATTTCGATTCATCCCGTTCATGGCTGAATTAAGAGGATGAATTACTGAGAATTCTTTTCTTCAAATTTTCTCTTCACAACCTGGCTTTTGATGCAATATGTTTGAATAACAGGTAACGTGGACAACTGATGTATCCGTAAATAGCCATCGTTGATAGCTATCAAACAGTACAATTTCAAACCGGTTTTCCAAATATAGTAACGCAAGACCAGTCTCAAAATATATTATCGTCATAATGATCATACGGCATGAAATGGTTAACACGTTGAAAATAAGCATTGAATTGGGACACTTTTTGTGTTGCTTAAAAAGGTATGGGGCATTGGAGCGAGAGAATCTACCCTGAGAAATACATTGGAAATGAAGAATTGGGTGGATACCTTTACTTCAAGTGCTTTACTCTGCATTTGAAGCGAGAAATTCCTACCGGAACAAAAACTTGCAGGGAAACTCTTTTCCAGCTAAACCTCACAGCGATCACAAACCATACGGAAGCGAGGGTGAGGAAAAATGGTTCCCTTCTTGATTGATACGATTTCAAACGTTAACAACATGAAACTCAACGGCAGTTCTCCATTTACGGATCGTCATATGTCTTAAATAGGTGGAAGTTTACGTCCATGATGTAAGGGAGGCATTCACGAATTCCCGCTTTTTTGAGCCTGAGCAAGTCCTCCTCCCCAAAGGCACCATTAACCGTATATTCATTCGTCCTGTGGTCATTCAGAGGCAGAGCAGGAGGACGGATCCCTGCGTCATGGATGAGGACTACAGTTCCACAAGGGTGAATTTAGTTCATAGGCGATCGCGAATGAGGACAAATGTCCAAGGTGCATTTCTACCATGAGGTCTTTGTGTTTTCTAGTGCAAAGAGAACTGTATATTGGAAAAGTTCCAAGTCCAGGAACGTTTTGAAAATAATTCGTGTTTTCCGCCATCCCTTCTGACCAAGGAAGCCAATTTGATGATACCCGGATGCCAAGATTTTGAAATGGAATTGAAAACTATTATGTACGAAATCCAGACCATCTATACAATGTCCTTGCCTGGGTACTATAATGATTATAATTGCATCTGTCCGAAGAGATGCAACCTGACAGACTACCACATTTCCCCCGATCTGTCCGGTGTCTGTGAAAGAGAATTTCCAGATGTCAGAAAGGGGTATGCTTATCTCAGCTTCAGTTTCCCATCGAAAAGAGTTGGTTCCCAAAAATATATCTCCCCACCTTTCACCGATGAAAGATATGATGAATGAATTGCGTATTGTTCTGGCAGATTCCTCATTTCTTGGAGAAAGAGAAGGTGACTCTACTAGATCTTCTGTCAAACATTGGGGGAATCGTCGGCGTCTGCCTTGGTGCTTCCCTCATCACCCTCATCGATTTTATAGAGAAAGTTTGCTCACTCATTCGTTGCAACATTTTTCCCAAGAGAAAATAAGGGCGTCGATCATGGAGATCGTCGATATTTGTCTAGATCTACAGCCACACAATTCCGTCGCCGGAAGTCACATAACTCCTAATCTAAATCCTATTATGAATATTTCAAGAGGAGTATCATGTTTGAAATAAATATTATTATCTGGAAAAGAAAAGCAAGAATACACAAAACGATGAACATGCCATGTTACTTGAACAGGAAAGTACTTGTTCCATTCTGTCGAAAAGTATTCTGTACATGTGTGAAACTTCTTTGCAGCATGAAGTCCCTGCACAATAGGTATAAAGAAAAACATGTCTGTTATTTTCATGACTGCGGGTCTTACTTGAACGATTCTTACAAATTATAACCCTCTTATTACTCATATCATGGTGGGACGTTATTGATGAGACCAAAGCTTCAGTCTTAAAATTTTTAATGCGCTAACATTTCCAGAATATGTATTCGAAATGAAAGCACCCTATGAACTCGTTTCAAAAACTTTAAGGAACGCACTGAAAATCCGTGATGTGACTAACACCATGTGAGTGTTGTGGATAAACTAGCCATACATGTGTTTGTTGTGGATAAACTAGCCATACATGTGTTTGTTGTGGATAAACTAGCCATATATGTATTTGGATGTCGGCTGGACAATCCCCGCAAACGATTGCGATCCGGAAGTCGCAATATCCATCGTTACACAGCGATGCTAACACAGGGGTCCAAAGCGACGCCCGGAATGGAGTGTCTAATGTGGGTCAATAGATCAGATCAGGGGTGGCCACACACCCTATTGAAAAGTAACATTGAAAAAACGTTGAGGGTAAATTGAAGGGAAATCACAATAGTCGAGGATTTTGCATTACACTCTAACTTCGATGTTTCACTGTATAAAATGGATTCCAATTCTATCGCATTCATCATTGACTTCGGTATTGCAAGGATTCGATTCTTTTACGCAATTTCCTGACACTATTGTCTGATAATTTTGAACGGCTTTCAATCAATTTAGAGAATATCTGAACACGAAGAAATTTAGAGCCCAAAGTCTCCTCCGCCATTAGCTACAAATCTGATCATAGTACAATAAAAAATAGCATACCATTTAAATAAATTGTTCCAATGGACGTCTGTTATTAGCAATACTAGATAAAAATGCTAAAGATATTAGGTTTTACCAATCTTCAGTGTTAGCACTATCTGATGCACATACACTGAGCCATACCATGGTATGTATATTTACACGTTATTTCGTGTTTTAAAAAAATGTCACGTGTATTATTGCACCCAGCATCAAAGGTATATGAATTGCTGAAAATAATATGCATATTATTAATGGAAGACTCTCTTCCAATATTACTTATTTATCAGAGGAGCACTTGCAATTTTTTCTTTCCTTGGGCGTTACTACATATATGGTGAAATGATCCTGCAAAAATACTTGTAAATACTTTCTGGATGTCAAATTTAATTACACTCCTTCTATGCATGAAGTGATTTTCTCATGTTTTAAATGAGTAATTTATACCTCACTCGATGTAACTGGATTTCATGTTCCATCAATTTTTCATCTCTCAATCCAACAATTTTGTCAATATTAATACCATAACAAACGAGCGAATAGGCAACTTTGGAACAGACCGATATAATATTTTTCTCACTGTGCTCTTAATGTGCGAAAATCTCCTCAGTGATGACGTCATGGAGAAAGTAATCAAGTGGCGCTGTTCTCTTGGCACTCAGAGGTGTCAGAATGCATGAAGTATACATGGAAATCTTCCAATTTCCTGAAATTTACAATGTTTTTCTTTCATTCATTGGAACACTGTCCTTATTATAAACGCTCTGATGCACATTGTTCTGCTAAGTACGAGGTCTAACCAAAAGGTTCCGAGACTGAATTTTTTATGACACACCAGTGAGTCCTGTTTTTTTTATGCTCATATCCTACAAAGTAGTCCTCTTCAGATATCTACACAATGTTTACAGTGCTTCCTCAGCCACCGCAAGCATCGCCTAACGAAGTTCGGCGAGTGGACGATAAAGCCCGAAGGTTTGCGCGTTAGGTCAGAAATTTATGCACAGGGAAATAAAGGAAAGTCTGGGAGAAGTCATGCTGCAGAATCCATGACCATCCCAACTTTCTCATTCTGAAAATAGACTGAAGCGAGAGGTAAGGTATTTCTCGAATTTTTATCCCTTTCTTTCCCACATGGAGGTTGTAAGTCTGAATTACTATTTAACGTTTTGGTCTTGCCTCACTGTGCTTACTTGTCTGCCGTTCGCAGGAAGAGGACAGTGGGAGGCAAGGTTCTTAAACATGACAACATGACAAGCCGTCTTCGCTGGGAAGCAATATCTGACCTAAACTGTATACCTTCCTGCTTCACCACCCAATCTTCTCCCCAGACTTGGCTCTCGGTGTTTTCTTCTTGTTCCAAAAGTTAAAGAATGCAGCACTGCAAACGCGGCTTGAGTACTTCTGACGATTTAAAAACATGGATACTAGCGATGTTTGCAGTGGCCGAAAATGCACTGGAAAATGAAGGATATTGCATCAAAAGCCGGATTGAATCACCACAGCTCAACGACAAAAAATAAGTCTCGGAACTATTGGATCAGACAGAGTATTTCCATATTGCTCAGGGGTCGGAGTCATATCAAATTCCATGCAGTTCATTAACCCTTTCAGACCTGGCGTCCATTCCAATGTTCATTGTGCCTATGGTAATTTCTTGAGGTTCTCGTGCCTTTGTATTACACTTTAATGGGCGCAATTATGCATGATTCAATTCCATCGGAGGCCTTCTTTCACCAATCAGTTTTGTAATCATCAGATATCTAATAAAATGTATAATATATTACATAAGGTATGATATTGTAAATTCATTTAAAATATAAAAGCGATTTAAAACCAATAAAAATTCAAATTACAATTAGTGAATGAGCTCAAAAATGCAGAAAATGACATTATTCCGATAGTGGCATTAATTCAGGTCTGAAAGGGTTAAAGCAGAAACAATCAGTTTCTCAGTACATCCTCAAACAGTGTATGAGAGGATAACAAAATTTCCCCAGTTTCCATTTATCCAAGTTTTTTCTGGTTTTGTAATATGGAACCCTTAATGAATCAAACTTAGCATGGAATGTTCCAATTGTAATGTTTTTCTGCAAGCTACTTTCTCTTAAGTTGTTGAAAAGCGTAAAGCACATCAAGGCAATCAACTTAAGTACTAAGATGAAATGGGGTAATACGGAACATTCAAATACATTCCCAAACCGGCAAAATAACTACGGCGATTGTTGGAAATCTAATACTTTAATTGAAAGAGGCCGAAAGCTGTGGTGGCTGACACTCCTAACGCTCGAGACCTACAACGGTATGCCTTTCTAGGCCATAGGCCAGGCCATCCACGATCTTAAGCACCAAATCTACAAGGATCTGCCATTCTGGGCGATTGGTTTAAAAATTGAAAGAGGCCGAGAGCTGTGACCGACACGCAAGGCCAACAAGGCTATGCCATTTTAGGCCAAGAAAATCTTGGTATACTTTCAACCTATCTATCAATACTTTCAAAAGACTTACCCTGTAAATGGCACCCACGTACTGCAATGCCTCAATAGTCCTGCCCACCTTTTGAAAATTAATTACATCGCAATGCAAGATTTGATTGAAACGTGGTTTACACCCTTCGGAAGAAGAGATAATTCTCTATCTAGTAAAAAGTGTCCGCATTGTTTGCCGATTGTATCTTTTATCCTGAGACGCAATTTGTATGCATTTTTCGGGGTCATTTAAAGTCATTCACATTTGAAAACACGCGGTGGCGCTGAGTCACGCTATTTGTCGTGTGTCTAATGGGTTGTGTCTCCGACGTGATCGACTCCAATTGAAAGGAGTTAGAGGAAAGTGACCGAGGAACGTTTTGCTATCGATAATCGTGTTTAGGAATAAGAAGCAGACTTTCTCCAATTTAGACGTCCATATTCGATGATGACATTCTAGGCCATAGGCTAGACCATCCACGGCCTGAAGTGCCAAGGTTACAGGGCCCAGCCATTCTGGGTCACGGACTGTGGTATCTTATATGCATAGGCCTCATACTTAGTGGCGCCCGAGTCGATTGACGCAACTCACTGTGAATGCGTATCGCGTTTCCATAAACCGACTGCAGGCTCTGCACTTGATTACTTTTTTGTTGATGCTTTGTTTCACTATAATGTTAACTTTTTAAAGTCAGGCGTGGTGGTTAGCACCGTTCGCAATCATGCAATGTTTTTCTGTTGGCGTTTCATGCCATGACCGATTTTTTTTTCCGTTTTCACGATAGGTGAAGTCAAAGGTATTAAGGATAACTCTTTATTTCATATATATCACACAAACGCGCTGCTTCTCCCGTCAACATTGATGGTGACAATCTTCGCGATGGCGTGGTTGCAGCATCGCGAAGAAGAATTGTTACAGGTGGCGGATGACGGCGATAGGGCCGTCGTCGTACATAAAACGAAGGTATTGGGGCGGAAAAAAACTTTTGCCACCGCAGTTGCGGTGCGAACTGCAGAAAACGGTGCTTTGGTAAATGTTAGCCGTGGTGGTCGTTGGGCTATAATGACTGATTTAAAGCGCGCAGCAGTGGGTTCTTCACGTAGGAAGCGTAGGGTCGCGCAGACCACGAAACAGCGGGAGGCAGCGAATGCTGAGCGCAGGAATATGAGACACGTGCAGCCTGCTGTGGAACTTGAGGCAAGGAACGCAGCGCGCAGGCGTGCAGCTCGACCTATTTTGGAACGAGCAGTTTTTTCGGGTACCCCTAACACTGCTCTAGCCCAGCTTTACGACTTGGGTCGAATGACTGTTGTATGCCGCAACGAGCGCTGTCGGGCTACACGTTATGCTGCAGAGAGGGGCATTTGCTTCACAGTTGCGGCCACAGCGAAAAAGTGATCCTGCTGCGTTTCACATTTTACCCTGAGGCTATGAGAGTATTGATATTACTCACTGGTAATGATGCGATGGCGAGGCATCTTATGGAGTTTATTTGTCAGTACGGTGCCACACATGCATTTGGTTCCTTCGGTTGTAAAGTCGAACAAGTTTCTTAGAAATGGCTTGTATTTTTTCAAAATCAGTAGTGGTGTGTTCCATATGGCTTCCTCTGCCCTTGAGCAAATCGGTGATGTAAGAGTATCTAATGCGCTGGGACAACAAAACCAGCAAAACCGTCCCGCCAAAATCCCGTACAAATATCTCACTGGTTGTTCACCGTTGAATCATCGGTGAGATGTGTTTCAACGTTAATTCACCGGTGAATCAACACCGGGTGTTGAAAAAAAAAAGAAACTGTCCTCTGACAGCTTGGGAGTGGGGAATCCCCGATATTTACCAGATGCTTAGGGGAAAGTTCCCCCTATCACCTTCGCGCGTGTCCTTGCTATCCTTGTGAGACGCAGTTGAACTATGCTATTCCCCACATCTTTCGGTAGCCGTCAGGACAGCAAGTCAGTCTCTCCCAGTTCGGCTTAAAGATGTTGCGCAGTGATGTGAATTGGTTCCTTTGACGTTAGGCGAGCTCTAGAGTCCTAGACACTTGAAAGTTGATAAGTCGGGCCTTTTCCGATTACGTTTTACGTAAGTCTTAAGGCTCTGATTATTAGTCTGGCTATTCAGCACTCGAATATAACGAATCTGTATTGTAAAACCCGACTATTGCACAATGGGATTCTCTTGTGCCAGTCATGTTTTTATTGTTAGAGATATGTTAATGATTATTAATTCACTATGATGATAGTGGCAACGAGCTCGAGTATCGTGATGATGGTGTTCGGGAACAAAATCTCCCTCTGTACGATCAGCTCTATGTCATACTGAGACTGCTTCGCCAACTCAATGCTTACTCTTTGCGCTACTTGTCTCTGACAGTGCGTCTTCAATACGGCTGTTAACTAGTGCATAACGCTTGCCAGTTATATATACAATGCATTATAGCCTGGTTAGGAGAAGCGGCTCGCGAGGAAGAGGAGCGTGTTTGGCGTGAGGGTGGCCACTTGCGCGATATTAGACAGCTGTTCATGGGATTTGATTCCGATGAACGCAGGCGCACGACTCTCCCACTGGTCCCGAGGGAGTACGCATTCGTACCGGTATTCGTACCGGTACGAATATCGGTAATACGGAAATGTTCCGCGCAGTGTTGACAACGCTGAGCATCGGAAGCACCAGCGGACTTGCATGCGCCTCGATGAAAACAGCCGTCATATTGACCCTATGATGTTTGTGCTACGTTTTCTAATGGCGATGCAGGTTGGACCATTAGTATTCATGACCAAAACGCTACCGCGCGCCAGAACACAGTCACCCCGTTGCAGTTTTACGTGCACAGAGTGCATAGGGGTGTGTTCAATCGTTACATAGGAGAGGAAAACTTTTTATTTTTGTTTGTGAGATGTTCTCTAGATGATAATAAAATTAGCAGGGCGGCAACACTTTCGTCATTCTTTACAGATTTTTTGTTGAAGAAAATGTTGAATGCAGGGTTTGAACTGAACTGCTTCATATATTTATGCAAACATTTTTCAAAAGTTCTGCACATTAGAAGGTCGCTAGTCTATTTCATGACATCTATGCGTCATTCATAACTGTCAGTGAGTAAAAGCGAGATTCTAAACTTATAGCAAAATACATTGTGACTCAGGACGTTATTTACTACGTAATGACTAAAGCTCGAGTAGTTGTAAAAGGTGTAAAATCGGTGTTAAAGGGTGTATTATGCAATGTAAATGCGATTGAGCCCAGAGAACAATTTCATACGAGAATGCAGGCTCATCCCGAAAAGTACCAATTATAATTATTCGATCTGAAAGCACGATATCAACGGGAAACCGGTATGCACCAAAGCCCTGCAGTGCATTTTCTAGATTGAATTTCTTAACACTGCACAGCAAAGCAGAAACTTAGAGTGAGGTGGATATATTATACGTTATGCGGTACAAACGTATGTCGTAAAATACGTTCCTTGAAAATGTACCGAAGCCAAGTAAGGGATAAACGTGTACCCTTCAGAATTCAAAAGGAACTGATGCGTTTGTTTTTTCTTTAGAATACCATCTGTATCCATTCCGGGCTTAAGGCCGTTCGGAAGATCTGCATATGAACCCTAATTTTCAGCTTCCAGGAACTTCATAGCGAGCTTCAGTGCCATGAAGCGCGCATCGCATCCTTCGGCACCGCGTCTCAGACGCTCAGCGAAGTGTGAGAAAAGTAGGATCTCCTTTCGCCATCATGTCAATGGTGACAGCTCGATCTTGTCTCCATGATGCTACGAGACGTTCAGGCTGTCTCACTAATGGCGAAACACTGTGACTATTGTACCCATTG